TTCACCCATTTTTCAGATCCTGGCATCGTCATTTCCTATCCTAGCCTCTGGGGTGGGGGGTGTTGGGACCACCAAGTACCCCTACAACAGTTTACACCTGCTCCATGCTGACTTTGGTCCCTTTGGAAGCCCCAAAAATCTCCAGTGAGGAAAATTTGTTGGGAACCATGGTTACACCTTGTTATGGTAAACCTTATCCACCACTTTGGCCTGCAGACTCTGCACCTCTGGAACAGCTGGATTGGAGGGAACACAGCCTGGGTCACTGGCAGGCAGTGAGGGCTCATCCCCTCTGCTGTATGCATGGCAATCAACCTGTCTTCAGCCCAAACACCCACGAGTCCTGTTGCCAGCTGCAAGACAGCAGAAGAGGGACTGAGGGTGGCTCAGTTGATAATCAGCTAGTACATGCATGGAGCCCTGGATTCCCTGACGGCCTGCATAACCGTCGGGCTCCCTGAACTGCAGTTAGAGGGCTGTCACTTTACACAGCTGCAGAGTGTTAGAAGAGTCAAATTCCCAGACTGCGTGGCAAGCACCTTACCACTGAGCCCCTCTACCTTACTGGGTTTGGTTTTGGGGTTTTTGTTTTTGAACCTGGTTCCTCTGTATAATAGCCCAGGCTGTCCTGGAACTCCCTCTGTAGACCAGGCTGGTCTTGAACTCAGAGATCGCCTGCCTCTGCCTCCCTGCTGCTGTGATTAAGGGCATGCGCCACCACCAACCAGCCCAGTGTCGTCTGTGTGTCTGTCTGTGTGTCTCTCTCTCTCTCTCTCTCTCTCTCTCTCTCTCTCTCTCTCTCTCTCTCTGGTCTTTGGAATGCTCTGTAATCAAGGATAGCCTTGAACTCCACTCCAGATGCTTGCAAGGATTAAAGGCATGGCTACCCAACTTAATTTTTGTTTTAGTTTTAAAGTGTATGTTTTTTTTTTGCTTGTCTGTTCATGTGTGCACCATGTGTGTGCAGACAGCACTGGAGTTCTGAGTTGTTGTCAGCAGGCACATGGGCGCTGGGACCCAAACCTGGGTCCTCTGCAGGAGCAGCTGGTGCGCCGAGCCTCCTCCCCTGCCCCCACCTTAGTTTTGGAGACAAGGTCTTTGCCTGAACAGGGAGCTTAACCTATTAGGCTGAGTAGCTCAGCGGTGAGCCTTTCCCTCCTATGTCTATGTCCTCCTCGTTCTGGGGTTAACACAGCTGTAGCGAAGTCCACCCCTGAGATCCCAGCACTGTGGGCTAAGGACAGTGGCAGAATAGAATCCGCAGCCCCCAGGGAGAGCCATGGGAGCTATGGGATCCAGGAAGGAGTCCAGAGCAGGCCAGGCACCCACGAGCCAGTCGCTAACCACTAGACACACTTCAAAGGTGGGGGACAAGGGACTGACCTTCCTATGGGCCTCTGTATTCCTCCATCCAGGTGGGACAGTCTCAAAATGCTTCCTGGGGATGTGTATCTGAGGATGTTCCCACCTTCCTCCTGCCAGTCTGGTGTGTGGTCAGGGAGCTTACTGAGAAGTTTTGATATGCCCATTCTGGGAGGTCAGCCAGGATAGGAACTCAGGTGGAAAGGGTGACCAGCGAGAGCCTGCCTGTGTGCCAACCACGGGAACCCAAGGTGTCCTGTAAGAAATGCCCGAGCAAGTGGAGGGTACCTCAGAGTCTTTCCCCTTGGCGCCTCTGCACAAGTCCCTTACCTGTGTGGCCTGTTTCCTTCGGTTTAAATTGGTGAAGGGCAGGGCTGTGGCTCAGTGGTTAACCTGCTCTTCTAGAAGGCCCTGGGGTTCCACCTCCAGCACTGCCTGCCTGTACCGGGCCTGGTGGCACAGGCCCAACACTTAGAAGGTGGAGGCAAGAGGATGAGGAAGCCCTGGATGTAGGAGGCACCCATCTGAAAAACAGTAAAGAGTGTTATCTTTTTTTTTTTTAATATTTATTTATTTATTTATTATGTATACAATATTCTGTCTGTATGCCTGAGGGCCAGAAGAGGGCGCCAGACCTCTTTTACAGATGGTTGTGAGCCACCATGTGGTTGCTGGGAATTGAACTCAGGACCTTTGGAAGAGCAGGCAATGCTCTTAACCACTGAGCCATTTCTCCAGCCCA